GCGGGGAACAATCAAAGGGAGACATTCTCCTGGCGGGAACTGCGGGGACCGGGGGCTGATGCAGGGAAAGGGTTCCGGCCCATGGGAAGATGCCGCAGCTAATCGACCCGCAGCCACGCTCGGAAGATGCTCCTTCCTGCCGCCTCTTATCTGGCCGACTGCAATGCTCCTTCATTAGCCCGCAGGCCGCCCCTATTAGCCGACAGCCCCGCTGCTGCAGAAAAGGAGGCGCATCTGCGAATGCCAGTTTCCTTCGGAGCCGTGGCTGAAGAGACGAAGCCGAGCAGGCCCTGCCCGAGGCTCAGCCACCGAGTCTCTCCTGGGCTTCGGTCGCCCTTATTTTTCTAGGTGTCCCCCCTGCATTAATTTGCCCCTCCATCCGTCACGTATACATTTGCATGTGCTGTGAAGCTTTCGTCCGTCTTTCCGGAGGTGCTTCAGGGACAACGGATTGATTGATCAATTGACCGATTGTATTTATATACCACCCCAATAGCCCAGAGGGCTCTCTGGGTGGTTTACAAACATCAAACCCCACCAGTCCTAAAATAAATAAATAAACCAGCCTGGGTATCACCTCTTTGAGCCCCTGGGAGCAGCCGCGGTGGGATGGGGCAAGCTTTTGCGAAGAAATGCAGGCGCTCTGGCTCGTTTGGGGGTCTCTTAGGAAGCAGGGCTGGGGGGCTGATTCTTGGCCAAGGGACTTTCTGGACCCTTTCCTTAGGCACCTGCAGAATTCCCATCACGAGGACAGGGCCAGGGAGTGGGGACTCAGCACTGCAGAAGGGCCCTGACCCCTGGGCACGGATGGGCCGCTTCCGGCCCAGGGACCTGGTCTGGCCAAGGGAGGTTGCCCATCTGGCCTGTGGTAGGCTGGGCTCTCTCTGCGGGCCTCGCCAGCTCCCTCCTCCAAGGACCCTCTCCCCCCCACTCCTCCAGGAAGGCCCCACACCAAGAAGGTGAACACCTCCCTGCCCCCTGCGAGGCAAGCTCAGCAGCGTGGCCTGGGCCCCTCGACCACACACGGGGCAGGTGTTTGGAGCTCTTTCGGTCTTGGAGGAAGGGCAGGGTATCAGGCAGCCCAGGGGGCAACCTTTGGGGGAGCCCAGGGTGCGCTTCCCGTGCAACCTGCAGATCCCAAGAATGTGGAGAGCTGCACCCGAGGGCGACCGGGGAACACGCTTGAATGCAGAGCGGTCCCCTGTCCCCGTCTGGTAACAGACCCCGATTGCAGCTTTCCCAGGTAGCTGTTTGCAGCGAGCGAAGCTCCCTCCCTCGCTTCATCCGCAGAGCAGACCTGTGGCCTCCCAGGTGGATTTAGCAAGCTGCTGTGTCAAGAGCTTGAATATGACACGCCCCACATAAATTCCACTGTAGGGGCTCCACTTTCGTGTGTAATCCTATAAAGAGAAATGGGTATCGGCTCGCTCAGGCGTGGTTTAGTCTGCAAAAGCCTGACAACCCCGGCTTGGCAGCTTCCGGGCTGGTGGCGTTTTTAGCTCCTGGCCATTATTCTCTCCATGTTAATTCAGTTCCTTTTTCTTTAGAGATAGAATTGCGATGGGGGGGGGGGGGCTTTCTTCCCCGTCCCCATTTGCAGCCAAAGTGCTCATCACAGAGAGTTGTGCGCATGGTAGGCAAGTCAAGAGTGGAGCCAGCTGGAGCTGAGGGTCAGACTAGATGGCCTGGGAGGCCCTTCTGGCTCGTTCTGTTTCTCTCCCTGACCGTCTCTCTGTTGGAGCAGAAAACTCTAGGAGGTGAGGAACCCACCTGCGGTACAGCCGGACAATGCCAAGTCTCGAGGCTTTGCGACCTGGGAAGCAGGCCTGGGGAAGCAGGAGTGAAGGCACCGGATCGGAGCCGATTCGGAGCGAGGGATCAGGGCTGCTCCTCCGGGAAGTAAGCCACGTGCCCTGCGGCCACGCGCGGGACGAGGCTCGGCTGCCTTCCGAGTCTCCCCACCTTGGCGGCGTCCCCAAGCGCGGGAAGGGGCAGGCCGGGCGCACCCCTTCCCCAGAGGAGGAAAGCACCGGGATCGGCCCGGGCACGGCTTTGCCGGCCGCTCACACCCGACACCGGGCCTCCTCCACCCCTGCGCCGCTGTGGCACTGGGGACCTCCTGCTGCGGGGCTCGGAGCCGTGGTGGTCCGCAGAGGCGCAAGCCGGGGCCCGCGCACGGGCGGCTGGAGGGGCGGGCGGTGGGTGCGCCTGGGCCCAGGCCAGCCCGCCCCCCCCCAACTGGGCCTCCCCAGGAGCCCCCTTTCCCTCTTGCAGGGGCACGGGCCGCATGCCTGCAATTCCGCCCTCGCAGCCCTCCGGGACCGTGCAGGGCGCCCCCAGCCACACCCGCGGCTCCCCCAGCCCCCGCAGGCGGGCGTCCGCGCACAGTTGCACCCCGCGGAGCCAGAATCCGGAATAAGCGGCCTCGGCGCAGGGGCCACAGCAAAGCCCTGAGCAGGAGGCGAAAACAGAGCATGTGCAAAGGGCCGCTGCATGAGTGGACCGAGGGGAACCTTGGGGGTGCTCTCCTGCGGTGGCAGCGGGGCGGAGGAAGGCCGTCCCGAGAACAACCCGCGGCGGCTGCCCGGCCGTGGCCAGCGGGGCAGCAGCAGGTGGACCATCCAGGCAGGGTTCCTTCCACGCTTTGGCCTCCCCGGTCTCACCCGAGAGAAGTGGCTCAGCAGGGCATTTGGGCCGGGCGATTGCACCCAGCAGGGACAATGGCAGGAATGCTGGGCTTTGTAGTCCGGAACAGCTCGAGGGACCGGGTTCAGGAGGCCCTCTGTGCACAGCGACATGAACAGAAGGCGCTTCTGCACTGAGCGAAAGAGCCGCGTCCTTTCTCTGCTGCGCCAGTTTCCCTTCTTCCCAACACAGATCAATCAACAGCCAAAGACGTTGATCATAAGACCTTTATTCCGGTCACCTGTTTCCGCCAGCAGCTCTCTCAGCCATAGATGCAGCAGGGGATAAAAGCACAATCAGAATCAGAGGAGCAAGATTACTGCTCGGAATTATCACCAATTTGATCCCGCAAGCACTCTGGGGCAGCGGTGGGGCTGGAGAGAAAGGCACGTATTGGGTAGGTAAAAAGGAGGCCCCGAACTCACCCCTCGGACCCCGCAGCTAGGAAGGGCCACGCTGAAATTCTCTACATGAATTCACAGTGAAAGTTCCGGAGCAGGAATTCTAGCTCATTCCTGCTTTGCTGGTGTGGGGAAGCCAAAAGGTCAGTGGCCCAAAAGACACCTCCTCCAATCGATCCCTGAAATGTAACTCACCCACCTCCGTGGCTTCTGGGATTTCGGCATGCTTGGCACACCCACACGCCTGCAAGAGTGCCTTCCAGACCTTAAGGACTGGAGACTTGGCAGCCTTTAAAAAATGTAAAATCGGAGCCAGCCTGATCCAGAAGCAGAATTTGGCACTGCAAACATTGTGTGCCTGTACAATCGAAGTATAAATACAGGCCAGGTTAAAGGGCTTCTGGAATCCAGGCTTGGAAAGGCCTTCACCTTAAGGAGTCTGGGCTACGAGGAGGAGAAAATACCAGGTTGGGTAAATCAGTTACGAAGGTGAGCACTAGAGCTCCAGGTTTCGTGACCTTTGCATTATCGGCTCTCTCTCTCCCGGCTCTTCTGCCTGGGTTGAGTGGCTGAAAGACCTCGGCTCCAGCAGCTGTCATTGAGTGTTGGAAGGCAGATGCGATGCTGCACACCACTTCCCAGGGTGGTTGGTTGTGGGGTGTACCGGGGGGGGGGGGCATGGAGAAGACTCCGTGCAACAAAGGTAAAGCAAACGCTGGATCAGACAGAAAAACCATGATTTGCTGGATCTGGAAGAAAGGAATTTGACTACTCCCTCTCCATTGGCTTCAGGAAAGATGAGCCCCCTGGCCCCCACAACCAGGGAACCGGGGTTTAAGCACACAGAAAGGGCCATGATTGCAAACCATGAATCCAAGGGCAGAGCGGAGCTGCAGCGTTCGGCAACCAGGGGCTGAAGCCGCGTGCAGGAGGCGAAGGAGAGCAAGCAGCTGGTTGCCAGATCACCGGGAGAGGAAGGTGGCGTGCCAGGCAGGCCCCTGCGAATTGCCTTGGCCCAGGAATTTACTTTCTTCCCTCTCGTTAGGTTTCAGTGGCGGCGAAAGGAATAGAGGACCACGAGGCTGCTCAAGCGCTGTGCTTCCATTTAGCCTGTTTCCTGTTGCTCCCGACTCTGCCCTTCCCGTACGTCAGATTTCTGTATCTCATCAAGACGGGAACACATTTCATTGCTCAGAGCATTGAGAGAGAAAACGCCAGACAGCCTGTCCTTCCCCGAACCTGCCTCCCCGCTTCCGAGACGGCTGGCGGCGATTCCGCAGGGATGGGTGCCGGGATGGGACGGGACGGGACGTGGCTCAGAGCTTAGCAGCTGCTTGCAGCGTGGGGCGCTTGTGGACCTTCTGCAGCCACTCGATCAGGATTTTGTTCAGTGCAGCCGGCCTGGGGGAAAAGGCACACCATTGGCAAGGCGGGGCATTGGGGCACAGAAGCACAGAAACAGCGCGAGTCAGAAGGGGCCTCCCGGGCCATCTAGTCTGACCCCCGGCACCAGCCAGCTCCGCTCACAACATGCCCACCATGTGCACCTCCAGCCTATCCTTGGACACCCGCACCGATGGGGCCTCAACGACCTCCCGTGGAAGCCCATTCCACACCCTGGGGGTCCTGACTGTCAGGAAGTGCTTCCTGGCATCCCAGGTGAACCTTGGCTCCCTGAGCTTTGCTCCGTTGGAGCACGTCCCGCCTTCCTCTGCAGGGGAGAACAGGTCTCTCCCCACCTCCGTGTGACACCCCCTCACACACCTGTATGTCGCCAACAGATCCCCTCTGAGTCTCCTCTTCTCCAGGCTGAAGAGACCCAGTTCCCTCAGTCTCGCCTCACACGGCATCCCCTGCAAACCGGCCACCAACCTTGTGGCCCTTCGCTGCACTGACTCTAACCTGGCTATATCCTTCCTGTAACGAGGGGCCCAAAACTGAGCACAAAACTCCAGTTGCGGGCGCACCAGAGTCGTACAGAGTGGCAGTAACACCTCTCTTGATCTAGAAGCCACACTTCTGGCTATGCAACCAAGGGTGGCATTCGCCCTCTTGGCCACCGCATCACACTGCTGGCTCACGTTCAGCCTGCAGTCAACCAGCACCCCGAGGTCCCCGAGGCATGAAAAAGGCGGCCCACATCTGGTGCCTGGAGACCACCCCACTCGCCAAGACCCCGAATGCCAATTCCGCTAAAGAGCTCTGGACTTCAGGCGTGATGGGGCCACGCTGCACATACCTGGCCAAGCGGGAAGATGCAAAAGGTACAGAACTGGCGCAAGAGCTGCTCCAGCACCGTGACGGAGCACGGACAGAGGATCTCTGAACCTCACCCGCGGCTCCGAACACGGGGAAAGCCCCGCCGGAGAACACAAGGCTCCGTCCACTCTGGCCCTCGCACAGAGCCAACCTTCCCCAGCACCCCACCCCCCGGCAGGATGCGTGCAAGACCCAAGCTCCGAAGCAACGGGTGCAGGCAGGCAGGCTGACTGAGTCCCACTCTGTGGGTAACCACCAGGCCCCTTGTTCCGTCCCATTTTTTAAATTCAAGGTTTGCTTTTAATTCTGAGCAGTTTGTAGTGCCTGGGAAGCTGCGGTCTTGCAGGGCCATCTTTCCCTGGGGGCCAAAAAGCCCTTCTGCGTTTGGTAGCTCTTGGGCAAGATGGCCCTAGTCGCTCTTGCCAGTTCGCCTCCCCTCATGCCACACAGCAACCCCTTTAGGAAAGCCCATCCCCCGACACCTGGGGCACGCACCCCAAATTCCCGAGGTGCCCACTGCGCCCAAGGGACTGGAGACCTCTGCACTAGGCAGCCCGAGGCAAGCCGTGGCCCCTCCACCTGTACTGCCAGGATCCAACTGGCCTACCTCGCAGGATCGTGCTGAAGATCACTGAGAAGGGGGGTGAAGCCCCCCACCACGGTCAGGGCTCTCCAGAGCCCCCTCTGGGTGCTGCAGGCGCTGCCTGGCCACCTCCGGAAGGCCCTGATCTGAAGCCCCCGGCTCTCGGCGCTGACCGAGCCCTGGATCGAGGAGCCCCTCTGGCCGCTGCGGTGCCAAAGCAGGGCCAGGCAGGTGCCGTCTGCGTTGAGGAGCAGAACCGGCCCAGACGCTGATCCAAAATGCCCGAGGGCAGGCTTGCGAAAGGAGCAAGCAGGACCCCCGGAGAGGCTGGGCCCATTTCCCGGACTCTCCCCCGAAGCCACACAGCAGCGTTCCCGCCCGGCAAACCGGAATGCCCTTGCTGCTCCCGTCCAGACCCCCTCAATTCACGGGCCGCTACTGCCTTGCCATTTAGCTGCAGAGGGTTTATGGCTCCCCGTAAAATCGGGTGGGGGCAGCGTGGCAGGCGGCGAGGGAAGAAAGACGAGCCGGATTCTTACTTGCAGTCAAACAGCCCCCGCTCTCCCGCCTCGATTTATTTGTTCTCGGCTGGAATATATCATCCCTTGGATGGGGGCACTGGCAAAATGCAATTCCAGCCGGCAGCTGATTTAATGGCTTTCTTCGGGAGAGGCGTCAGTTTTTACTGCAGCTGTGACATTCGGGCGGAGAGGGTCGTTTACTGAGATGAACAACAGGGCAGGAAGCTGGCGGGCTGCGCTCGGAAAGAAGGCGATTTCGCAGACCTCTGTGTGGGCGGCCCCGGGCCAGGGCTGGGGCAGTGCCGCCGTGAGGGCGGGTGCGAGGGGGACCTGGCTTGGTGCGCCCACCTGCCCCCCTCTCCGAGGCGTCTTGTGCTGGGATGGACTGTGAGCCACCCAGACTTGCTGGCTGGGAAAGGGGGGCTCTGCCCCTCTGAGCTGGCAGGGCACGCCGATGTTCCCCAACCTTCACGGTCACCACACATGTCCTGCACCCTTTTCACCGGCCGGGCTTTTATTCCTACCTCTGCATTCGATTGCTTGGATGCTCCGGAACAGGAAAGCTTTATCTTCAGCTTTATCCAGATTTCCCAACTGCAGAATACCTGGATGTCCGACTAGGCTGAGCAACCTTTCTTGGGCTCTTTGGCAGGAGCCGCAGCTGGAGCACTGAAAAGCTCCCTTACGGGACACGCCGTTTTCCGGCGGCTGCAGCGTGGCAGCCAGTGGGGAGGAAGAGGGGCTGTTTCGCCCGTGCTCTGCCTGCCAGCTTCTGCTCGTGGGCATTGCTGTTTAAATGCAGAAGTGCCCTGTTTCGGTGCTTTTCTTTCTCCTAAGAGGCAGTGAAAAGAAGGTTCTCGGGGCTACATAATTTCTCCTACAAAACAGGCCTTTCTAGTGGGCTGGGAATCATTTTGGAACATTGGGGAAGTATGAAATCCGGCAGACTGATCTTCATGCCTCGTCTGGGAGGAGCTAGAGACTGCTCGGATGGAACGGTGCCATCTTTCGCAAACGCATCGCCCGAGATGCCAGGGAGGCGGGGAGGTCCCAGCAGTCCGTGAGCTGCCCTTCCTCGGGGGCCCGCTGGGGGTCTCAGCTTCTCTGCACTGAGGGCATCCGGCAGCGTTTAGACTGAAGAGTGGGCGCCAAGTATTTTAACCGTGATTTGAGAAAAGCTGCCCGCCAGGCCGAACCAACATGGGATACCACCTACCTCTCCATCTGGGTGAAGTGCCCACAGTTCTCGATGTGGCCCCGGCTGAGCTGTGGGATCTAGGAGGAAAAACGCAGGTCAGTCCCCGCTGGACGGAGGCGTCCTGGTGCCCGGCTCACGGCTCCCCTAACGGGAGGGGGCATCGTCCCGGCAAACTCCCACACTACGTGAGAGCCGTGCAGTGTGGGGGTTCAGGTGCTGGGCCAGGATGCGGCAGATCCGGGTTCTAGTCCCCGCGCAGCCACCAAGCTCACTTTGGGCCAGTCACAGACTGGCAGCCGGACCTTCTCCGCAGGGCTGTTGTGAGCATAAGATAAGGAGGCGCTTCCTGTAAGGCACTTTGGATTCCTTGAAGGGAAAATGGTGGGGTGTAAATAGAACCCCACTGGCCTCGGCCTCCGTGTCGCAAGTGGTGTGGAAACGAAGTGAAGCGCCTCTTGATCCGTGATGCGGATTCCCGGGGATCCCTGACCGTCTTGCTACAGCGGCAGGAGGCCGCGTGGTTGTGAGGGGCCGGGGCGCCTTGCTGATGTTTTGAAGTCAGCACGACAGTCCCTGGAGCTGCGCCCGCGAGGAGAGGCCGAAAATCCGCGTGGCTGATCCACAAGCCAGTTCTCTCTGCCAGCAGAGCTGGGCTTTGGCAATGCTCACGGGCCGTGGCTGCCCGATCCAGAGTGGGCCGCTCGGCGAGACCCCGGAAGCCAGAGGCCGCCGCTGGGCAAACCCGTCTCCCTGCAGCTCCTGGGTTCAGTGGAATCCGGGCGGGGGGACAGAGGAAGGACTGTGGCTCAGCAATCCAGAACCGCCGCAGGGTGGCCCCGGGCTCCAGTGGCGCAACCCAGGTGCCTCCACCTGAACGGCCCCTCTGCTCTGGGCACAGGGCCTGCAGTTCTGACGGCTGGGGCTGGAGGCCCCCCATGGTGGAGAGGGCTGGGCAGGCTTACGGCCGAGGGGACCGTGCCGGAGACACCCAAGTCTGAGGCTGCTTTAGGCGTCAGAGGTCCAAACCAGCTCCTCCCCCGAGCCCGGAAACAATGAGAAACTCGGGCAGGAGAGGGGCAGCGATCTGGTTTCGTGGGTCCCCTCGGTAACACGGTGGCAGCTCCGTCCCGGGCCTGCTAGAGTCCCCAGGAGTAAAGCCGCACGGAGGGCGTCACGGCAGTCCGGCCTGGAGGCAGGCGCAGGAAGGCGCCTGCGAGGAAGAGTCCGGCCCCTGCGGCTCGCTGGCCCACCGGGCCGCCAGCACGGCCACTCACCCATTCCTCCATGCGCTCGCTCATCTTCGGGTGGAGGACGATGTCCTTCCCAGCCGTGACCATCAGCGCGGGGACGTGGATCTGCGGGGACAGAGCGGGAGGGAGTCGGGCATCTGCAGCAGGGCCCAGCTGCGTGTTCTCGTCCAAGGTGCCGGCGGCCCTTTGGGGCCAGCAGACTCGCACCAGGGACGGGCAGGGCTGGGAACGTGCCTTGTGCCACGGATCAGTGGGCGTTCCCTAGGAGCAGAAGCGGCACTTTTGGGAAGAGGCTGTGGCGCTCTGAAAAAGCGAGCTCATTTGCCGTTGGGAAGCCTCGGGGGGCTGCAGCCCACCCAGCAGAGGGATGTAGGAGGGACCCCAGCACGTGCAAATCGATGGAGGCAGAGCAAGAGAGAAGTCAGGCCTGGCTGTGTGCCAAGAGGTATTCACGGCACCCCTTTGGATCCCAATAATGAAATGCAGCAGGACGCGGTGCCCTGGTTTGCATGTAAGGGTTGTGTACAGGCTGTTGCTGAACTGTGGGTTATTTCTGACTCCTATAGTGTTGTTGCATTTGAACCCTGCACTATAATGTAACCACGGTTGCTGATCAGAAGCAACCCCGGAAGAGCACCCATGATTTGCTGATGGGTTGTGAAGTCCGGGCTGTTTGTGACCACCAACCCACAGTTACCCCATAATGCGGGGGCCGCGTGTACCAGCAAGTCACAGTCCAATCCCTAGTTGGGCTGTCATGCTCAGACCAAGTCGATAATCCCAAGCTTTGACGTGGGCAACAAAAACAAAGCAGAAATCACGGGCACAAAGCAAGCCGCCTGCCCCCCAACAGCCGCCCCGAACTCCAGGCAGCCTCCGCAAGGCCGACGCTTCGGACGAGGGCGACCACAGAACCCGCTTCCGGAGACCCCGGAGCCGGGCTGGCTTCACGGAGAACTCGCTTGTGACTTGAGACGGGAGCCACACGGCTCTGCCACTAGGAGGGCAGCGGTCTGGGGAGGGGGGCCACATGGCGCCACAACTAAAACGACGTGAACGCTCTAACACACCCGGCCTGCTGGAGCTTTTCCCCTAAACTTCAGGAGTGGCCCGACAGCCTTCGGAGAACTGGGGAGACGGAGGGGGAATGGCCCACAGCTTGGGAAAGCGCCCAAGGATGGGCAGGGGAGGGGAGGGGCTGGGCTGGGAGAAAGGGGGGGCGTGGATATCTGGGGAGCTCCGGAGGGCCGGCTCTGCACCCCAGGCCTGAGGTTCCCCGCCTCTGTGCAGCCGTGAGTTACCGGCAGAGAAAACTGCTTGGTAGGGAAACGCCTCCCATGCCGTCTCCGGGCCCATCTGCTTCCCTCTTACGGTCTCCCGAGAGGCTGAGCTGCCCCCCCCCCCGCACGTGTCCCCCCCGCTGGCCCAGCGAGGGCCCTGCAGTGAGCTTTGGGGTTCGGCGAGAGGATGAAGGCCAGCGGCAGAGCGGCCCAAGGAGAAGCGGATGCCCGAGTCCCCCTCCCACCCGTACCTTCCTGTCCCGCGCGGTGGCGTTCCAGCGCCAGTTTTCCCGAAGGTTCCGGTACCAGTTCAGCGGCCCCCTGCAAGAAGAGAAAGAGCGGGGAGGGGGACTCGCCTGGGGACTTGCTGTGCAGCGTGGCATCTGCTCCCAAGCGACTGTCCCCGGCGAGGGCAGGGGGCCGCTTTCGGCGATTTCCCCAGCAGAAGCCCCCACTCTAGCCCCCCGGCACCCTCCCCGCCACCCCCAGTACCTGAATCCGGATTTCTGGTACTGCTCGACGTAGTACTGGAGCACCGGGGGCGGCAGGAGGGAGCTTGGAGGAGGATTCTCTGGAAGCCCAACCAGCAGCCCTCCTGCAGCACAAAAGTGGCCGGCATGAAAACGGCCGTGCAGCCCCGTTCCTCACGAGCAAGTTCCTACCCGGCCCACACGGTCTGGACTGAGCACCACCTGCAGCCTGCGGCCAAGTGTCTGAGCTGCGGGCGTGGGGCCGGGGCCCTCCGACATTCCAAAAATGCACACGGCGAAATGCACGGTTTAAAAAACCCACAGTGCAGGAAGGCCGAGCACGCTGCAGAGAGGTGCACAAGTGAGGTGCGCACTTCGGAGAAAATGCACAGCAAGGTGCGTGGATTTCCATCCAGAAAACGAAACGAAGCTGAGCGTCGGGGAAGGGCTCGGAGGCACGAGCTTCAGGGTAGAATCTGGGGGATTCCGGCAAGCTTGCTTTTGCCTCACCAATGAAAAGGTAGCGGCAGGGGGTTGCGAGCTGCAAGAGCAGGAGGCCGAGCAGGAGCAGCTTCCAGGGAGCGCGGAGGAGCCGGCTCACTCGCACCGCTTCCTGCCCCTCCTGCTTCTTCACCCTGAGCACTTCTGCAAGGACAGCCGCACGAAGGTGTCCACACAGGGGCTCAAGTCCTGTCATATCAACAGGAGCCTGCTCCTCGGCGGGGATGAAAGAGTCACGCACCACTTTTCCAGGCCAAATTTAATTGCACACAAAAGGACAGGAGCTGACCACCCGCCGTCTGTTTCAGTACGTGGAGTGTGCTACGTTTTAGTAGGAAAAATAAGCTGGGCCGGAAGCGGACGAGTGCGAAGTGCCTCGTTACAGCAGCTAAGACCCCCGTGTGCTTTCCCGATGAGGAAAAGGAAAGGGGGGCTCCTGCAGGTCCTCTCCCACTTCCTGGGATCAAGGCTGTTCTGCCTCAAAGCGAATGTAGCCCAAGGCCAAACCCAGTTCAAAGGCCCTCCAGGGGATCTTTAGTCTAGGCCAAAGGCACCGGGCCCAACACAGCAGCAAATTTTGGATCAAGGCCTTGAACGCCAGCAGGAGACGGTGTCCGGACTGCTCAGAATGGGGAAGGCGGCACAAAAGCCCGGAAATCGCCAACGGATCCAAAGTTGTGCCACTCCTGAGGAGCACAGTGAGCAGAGGAGCAGGAGAACGGAGGGAGGGAAGGAAAGGGAAGGGAAGGATCGGGATGGAGGGACACTTTGTGCGCCATGTGGGGGACACGCTGCGACAGTCCTGCTGCGTTCGTGTTCAGGGGGAGCCGACAGGGCGATGGGGGGCGATGCCTCGGCCCCCGGGATGCGCCCCTTTCCTCCCCCGGGGCTGCAGCTTCTCACCTCGCTTCCGCACGTTGAAGAGATTGATGGAGCGATTCTCCATGTGGTCCTGCAAGGGAAATGCATCCAGGAGAAGGGGCAGGGCTGGGTTGCTGCCGCAGCTTCTCTCCGGGCAGAAATCCAGCCAAGGGGCCGCCTGCCTTCTGCCCTCCCTCCCCCCCCCGCCCCGTGCCGCGGACTGACCTCCTTCCTGACTGACCGCACCATGATCTGCAGGGTCCTCCTCACGTCCTTGCCCAGCTCGGCCTCCGCAACTCCCTGTTGGAGGAGGAGGAGGGGAAACGGTTCGCATCCTGCTCAGGGGGCCTCGTGGGGTGTTCTGGGGGGAGGCCGGTCAGCCGGTCCTTCTGCACGACGCCCCCCTCTTTGCCGTTCCACCCCACACCACGCACCCCTCCCTATCGGAGAACAGTCGCACACCTGGTCCCAAGCGCCCTGTTCTGGGGGTGCCTGCAGTGCTGCCTGCCAAAGCCTGCTAGCCCAGCGCCGCGTTCACACAAGACACCCACAAGGGAGGCAGGGGTCCAGCGCCCCACCCCCCCCCTTCCCAGCAACTGGTGCACCGAGACACACCGGACTGGACGTGGGCAGCGTCCCCCCAGCAAATGTGTCCAAAAGCTCTCAAGGCTCCTTTTCAGGGGCCCTGAACCGTCCACTGATCCGCGCCGTGGATGATGGACCCTTTGGGTTCTGCTCTTGGGGCAGAGGGAGCAAAACGCCTCCCTTGCCACCTTCCCCGCACCAAGCCTCGTCCGGAGCGCTCTCCGGTCTCCCTCGCCGGCCCCTTTGCTAAGTGGCCCGGTCCCGGCGCTGCCCCGACTCTTCTGGCTGACCGTTTCTGCACTGTCTCTCCACTAGCCCTTTTCCCGGCGCAGTGGCCCGCACTGCAGGGGGGGCGCACCACTGATGCACTGTGCTGGGCAGTCTCCATTTTGGCTTCCTCATTAATTTTGCTCTCTGCCTTTGCCCGTGTCGCAGCGGCTGCGCGCAGGACCAGCGCCAGATCGGTTCCCCAGCAGCGAAAGCCACTGCGGCAGCCGAGCAGAGACTTTCCACCAAACATCTTGGCCGCAGGCCGTTTTGGTCTCTGCACGTGCCCAGCGCCTTGGACTGGGCTTGGGAAGTCCCTGCACCGGCCCTCACACTCGCCCAGTCCAGAAGGCAAATGCCGCCCCCCCCCCCCCCCGCCCCCCCCCCCCTCTTCGCCAGCCCATCTTGGTTTGCTGCAAAAGCCCCGAGCAAAGCGAGACCCTTCCAGCCCAAACCTCCGTCAATCTTGGACACCAACTGGAATGAAGGAAAGGTGGGCGAGGGGCCGATCAGGGCCCTGCACGGCCCCGTTCCCACCGCCCCCATCCCGTCCGTGCCTCTACCTGCGCCCCAACCCACCCCGGGCTGGCGGGGGAAACTCTCCCGAAAGCTCTGCACGCCGGAGATCTGCACAGCTGCCACCGGAGGAAAAAGGAGCCGTTTGTCTTCCGGCAATTAAAACTGCTCCGCTGATTTCATTCTGTTTAAAGCGACTAAAGCGAAGAGAAGCAAAAGAAGAAAGGTGCGTTTCCGGAGATACAAATGTCTCCATAAGGCAAGCCAGGCGTGCGCTGCCGGGGCGGCTGACAGCCCCATCAGTCACCCGCAGGCGCTCCACCGCCCTCCCTTTCTCTCGCTGGAGGGGGCAGACAAGCCCCACAAGTTTGTACTATCTTCTCATGACAGCTCTGAAAAATTCAAGGTTTGGGGGCACGGGAGGTGGGCAGGAAGAACCCAAACGCACCTCGCGTGCTCACGCACAGGCGCTCTCGTCTCCTCCCCAGGAAAGGCTCTTTCCCGTCCTGCTTTTGAACGCCAAAATGTCAACCCAGCGCACAGCTGCCGTGAAAACGGCAAAATCCATAGTTGGGAAAGGAATGGAAAATAAAACTGCTAATCTCATCCTGCGCTTATCAAAGCCACGATGCATGCGGGCTGACAGAACTGTCACAGCACTAAAAGGAGGATATTGCAGAGTCAAAAAAGTGCAGAAAGGGCAACCTAAGCTGGAGAAACTCCCTTAGTAAAAACGGTAACAACTGGAATTGTTTACCCTAAAGAAGAGTGGGATGCATGGAATGATACGGCAGACAGGGAAACATGGCTCTCCTTCATGGAAGAGAAGGCTACCCATGGTCACTAGTCCTCATGGCTCTTACACAGGTGGGAAGGTGCTGCATACACCTGTCCCGCTTGCGGGTTCCCGAGGGCAGAATGGTGGACAAGATTGGTCCTGGCTCGGGTTCAGCATAGCTCTGCCTGGCTATCAGCCTCCCTGAGCGGGGTGCTGTCCTGTTTTGCCTCCCCAACCCAGCATAGCTGCTCCAGTCTCCACTGATCCCTCTACTAGGCTGTCCAGGCCCACCGGTGCCTGGATCTTGGGAGATCAGGCAATCCAGGAGATGCCTGTGAAGTTTCTTCAATCCATTAGTGCCCCTTGGCTGTGCTCCCCGCCCCCCACACTCCAAGCAAAACACCAATCATGGCTTCTCCCTCAGAGTCCGCCAATTTTCCCACCGCGGCATCATATGCAACCTCCTGACCCCAACCTGGAGGTGCAGGTGCTCTACATCCACTCTACTTCCCTCACAGCCCAAGCCTGTCAGAGAGAAAAGCGATGGATCCCCTCTCTGCTTTTACACAACTGGGTAAAAAGTTACTTAAGAAACCGACACTCTTCCCCGACTCTCGACATCAGGCGCACAAAGGAGCTGGTCTCCCCACGCAGGCCAAGGCAGAGGCTTGGCGCTCCGTTCCAATTGCTGGGGCGCAGTCGGGCCGTCTGCCCTGTCGTTCTCTCGCCCCCCTTCCATCCCAGGAAATAACGGAGTCCGCGCTTGCAGAGCTAAATTGGGCGGCTGCTGCAGCTGTGATGCAGAGCTCAGCCTCGGCGCCGCTTCTTTCGAATCCCACAAGCTGAACTGCTGATGAAGGGGGATCGCGGCCACGTGAAGCTCGGGTGAGGCTGCGGGCACCATGCCCAACTCAGAGGCGCTTGGTTTCCGATGCCTTCCCCGTGCAACGGAAGCCAAATGGCCTGGCACCAGGGTACCTGAGGGAGCGCCTTTGCCGTTCTCCATATATTCCTACCTGGCCACTTAGATCCTCTTCGGAAGTCCTCCTCCGCATCCCCTCCGCTAGTGAGATCCAAGGGGAGAGGGCTTGGAGGGGGCATGCTCACCAGTAATGCCTAGACTCCGGAATTCTCTCCCCAGGGATATCCGCCTGGCACCGACTCTTCTTTCTTTTCGGCGCCAGGTGAAAACTTTTTTATTTAAACAGGTTTTTGGGTGATTTAATGTAATTTTAATACTTTTATACTTATTGTTATGATTTATTTATGTTGTAAGCCATCCTGGCACGATTGTATAGGATGGGGTAAAAATATTGTAAATAAATAAATAAATGTTGTTATAGATTTTTGTATCTTAATTTAATTTTGGTTATTTTGTTGGTTGTATTTACTGTGAGGATATTCTATTTGAGGTGCTCATATTATTGTTTTATCTTTTATCAGGTTAATGTAATTTATGTATGTTTTTATGCCCTAGTATTGTAAGCTGCCCAGAGAACCTTTGGGTTATGGGGCAGCATAGAAATGGAATTAAATAAATAATAAATAAATACCCCTCCCCTCCCAGCAGAACAGGCATTCCTGCTGCCCTGGAACTTCTCTCAGTTTTGGAGGTGTGTAAGTTGGTTTGAAACTCGACATCAAGAAAACTAAGATCATGGCATCCGGTCCTCTCACTTCCTGGCAAATAGATGGGGAAGAAATGTAGGTAGTGACAGATTTTATTTTCCTGGGCTCCAAGATCCCTGCAGGTGGGGACTGCACCCAAGAAATTAAAAGACGCTTGCTCCTGGGGAGGAAAGCTATGGCAAATCTGGACAGCATACTAAAAAGCAGAGATATCACCCTGCCGACAAAAGTGCGTGTAGTCAAGGCGATGGTTTTCCCAGTTGCAATGCATGGCTGTGAAAGCTGGACCATAAGGAAGGCTGAGCGCCGAAGGAATGAGGCCTTTGGATTGTGGTGCTGGAGGAGACTCCTGCGAGTCCCTTGGACTGCAAGGCGATCAAACCGGTCAGTCCTAGAGGAGATCAGCCCTGACTGCGCTTTAGAAGGCCAGATCCTGAAGATGAAACTCAAATACTTCGGCCACCTAATGAGAAGGAAGGACTCCCTGGAGAAGAGCCTGATGCTGGGAACAATAGATGGCAAAAGAAGGAGGGGACAGCAGAGGGTGGGATGGCTGGATGGAGTCACTGGGGCGGTGGGAGTGGGCTTGGGTGGACTCCAGGGGATGGTGGAGGGCAGGAGGGCCTGGAGGAATGTTGTCCGTGGGGTCGCGATGGGTCGGACATGACTTCGTGACTAACAACAACAACATCCTGTCACACCTGCTGGGCTCATTCGAAAACGCCGCTGCCATGAGCCCACCGTGACCACACAGCGACGGGACGTGTGCAGATACGATGCAGTAAGGGTGGCGGAAGGTGGACAGATACACCAACACAACACCAACGGCACACGGCCCCTTGCAACTTGTGGCCAGCACCTTTCACGCTGCGCTTCCAGACCGAGGGGTCCTGCGGCTCACAATCATGGCAGAATTCCCCTTTTGGCTTAACTCCTGCTTTTCTAGTAAGAAAGGAAAAACAGCAGCGGTGAGCGGGATTCGAAGGGAAGGCGGCCCTGGCGAACGAGGCCCTGGAACGACGCCCTCGAAGCCTCATCTGGGAGCACGCAGAGTTTCAGTGCAGGCAGGGGCTGGGAGCCAGGATTCGGCCCGTGCGCTGGCAGCCGCCCAAGGCTTACTCTTCATTCCCAACAGTGCAGGAGCAGCAGGTACCGCCAAGCGGTTCCCATGAATAATGCCTTCCACTCATCGATCCAGAGCTGAGGCAGTATTTTGATTTCCCCAAAGTGACAGGTACAAATTCTTCTGATGGTGTAAAACTGAGCGTGCAAACGCCAGCACAGCAAAGCCGCGAGCGAGCGAGGGAAGATTCGGGGAACGAAAATGCATCTGCGTAAGCGAAGCCTGCTTAGAACAGCCCCCGGAAGGAATAATCCTGAGCGGCGATGGAGCGATTTCAATAATTCATCGCTTTAATCAAAACGGCCAAGGTGGGAGAAGGATGACAAGGAAATGCACTTCCGTGCCCAGAAACGGCTTTCAGCAGGACTGCTCTGCCTCCACACCCAACCCTGCAGAGAATCCTCGGGCGGGCAAGGCGGCCTCTTTGTCAGCAACAAGGCTGGCTGCTTTGCACCGGGAAAGCAAAATCCGTGCTCCCCACCCAAAGGAAAAACAGATCCGGGCAGCTCAGAAGACCTGGGCTGGGCCCTGAGACCAAAACCTCTCTCTCTGTACGTTGCCAGAGGGCACAGACACACCACCAAAAACCCACAGCCCCAGCTGTGCACCAAGGAAAGCCCATTCTGCAAAGCACAACTGGGCAGTATTTCCCAGTGGTTAGAGAGCCAGTTCCTAGGTTGAAGAGTGTGGCAGAGGAAGGGCAGAGCATGTGTTTTACGTCTAATGCATGAGCCAGCAGTGTGAAGTGGCGGCGAAGAGGGCGAAGCCACCCTTGGGTGCATGGCCAGAAGCGTGGCTTCCAGCTCGAGAGAGAAGCTGGTGGCGTTCCATGAGACTCCGGAGTCCTGCGTCCCAGTTCTGGGCTCTGCACTGCAAGAGGGACAGAGCGAGGTTGGAACCAGCCGGCTCAGGGCAGGGCCACAAGGATGGCAGCCGGGTTGTGGGGATGCCCCGTGAGATGAGACCGGGAGCTGGCTCTTTTCAGCCTGGAGAAGAAGAGACTCCGAGGGGATCGTTCAGCCACTTATCGGTATGCGAGGGTAAGCCATGTGCAGGAGGGCCATGACCTCCCCTGCAGCGGAGGGCGGGACGCGTTCCGAGGGGGCAAAGCTGAAGGAACCAGGCTTCAGGCTGCAGGTCAGGAAGTACTCCCTGATGGCTAGGACCCCTAGGATACGGAAGGGGCTTCCAAGGAAGGCTCCATCAGTGAAGACATTCAAGGAAAGATTGGACACCCACGTGCTGGGGATCCCATGAGCGGAGCCAGCAGGCGCCGGGGGTCAGACTAGATGACCCGGAGACCCCTTCTGACTCGCCCTGTTTCTGACTTGTCCTCCCTGCCTCCCATCTTGCGCACTAACTCACCCTCCCTCTTCTACTCTCTTTCAGTTCCAGCTCCAGCCTTACAAGCACAAACGTTCCACATTTTCCCACAGTCCGCTGCTTTGCATGAAATCAAAAGCGGCTCCAGGTTGGGGGTTTCTAAAGAGGCTGACCCCAACCAGGAACTGTCACTCTCAGCTCTGCTGGCCGGGGGTGCTGGGCGCTGCTCGGGGAAGCCTGCTCGAAAGATGGCCCCCTCCCCTTCCTTCGCTGCCCCAACAGGCCCGCAAGAATCCAAGGCCCGTCGCGGGCAAGGGGCTACCGCATGCCTGCCAGGGCATCTCCACTCCCTGAACGAGCAGAGCCCGGCACGCCAGCGCACGAGGTCGGCTGGCACTCGCCATGCGCGTGAGACGGAAGTCAAAGGCACGCAGCCCGGGACTCCCTGTCTTTGGCAGGCCAAGACAGGAGGAAGCTGGCTCCAGTGCCACGGCGATCCCTGTGGGGCCCGAACGGGGAGCCAGGGGAGGTCCCATCCCCAGTTGTAGGGTTGGACTTGAGCCTCAGGGGGCCGAGCCTGGAGAGAGCCCCCCATGGGTCCCCAGTCCACACCCAGAACCGCTGGCGCACGTCCTACTCACCGGCTCCTGGAAGTAGAGCTGATAATCAAAGACCGGGTGGGACTCCGTCAGCTTCATGATATCCACTTCAGGGTCTGCCGGCCTGTAGGGCGTATTCAGCCCCGCCACGGCCCTGGGACAGCACAGAGGAGATCAGCCGAGGGGCCGGGCAGAGGGGCTCCGCCACAAGGCCCCCAGCCCAGAAGGGCGGCCCAGGGCTGCCCAGCACTGCCGCGGGGCACCCGATGGCTTTTCTCCAGGCTGCCACAAAGAGCAAGGATGGGCGGCAGGGCAGAGACAGCTGCTGCGACGGCTTGAGAAGCAGCCCTGTGCTGCCGGTGCAGCCGACAGAACGGCCCTTGGCCAGCGGCCACTGCATCTCGCCCCCACATGCGGGGGGCCGGATGCAGGCTGCCTGGATTAAAGTGTCGTAAAGACGGATGAGCAGAAAGATCGGGAAAGAAAGGTCAGTCGAGGGTGCTGAGCGGCTACAGAAAGGGAAACGCAGTGGCGGGCACCCAGTAATATTCTCCCTGCAGCCCCCCCCCACCCCAGAGTCCTCTCTGGGGGGTGCACGAAAGATCCGGGACTGAAAACAACATGGCTGTTAGCCGTTGTTGACGCATGTTAGAAAGCGCCCCTGGTGCAATTCTGGCCAAGCTGCCCCCACAGGAGAAACTGGCAGGCAAAGACACGCACAGGAGGAGCACAGAGCCCAATAATAAAGGTAATTTACGGATCGTTTAAACAGAGGCGTCACAGCAAAGGGGCAGAAGCTCACAGAGCAACGAAGAGTGGCCACAGGGAGAAAGGAAATCGGCTATTTAAAAAAGCAGCAGCCGAAATCGGCAAGCTGTGAGTCGGCGATGCCACCCGCACAAGCAACGCGGCCGGGCCTACGTCCTCCTCCTGCCAGGAGCCGCTGCACCGGAAGAAGGGGCTTGTTCACAGCACACCCTTGAAGGGGAGGCCTGCGCAGGACCCGAGCGAAGGCCCGCCTGGTCCAGCACCCCGCTCTCCACCGTGGGCAACGAGGGGGCGGTCGCAAGCGGGACACGAGGGGGTGCCTCCTCCCCTGCTCGTGTCCCCTGCGGACTCGCGTGCGGTCTCTGTCCTGGAAGCTGGATAAAGGATAGAGCAGCAGAGCGACAGGAAGACGCAAAGTGGCCGTCTGGTCAGAGGAAGGCCGGAGGGCTACCAGGTGGCACGGGATGGGGGTGCAGTGCCTGGCTTCGCCTCACCACGCTTGCTCTAGGGGCAGCACGGGATTTCAGAGAGATGTAGAAGCAGAGAAGCAGAGCGAGTTGGGAGGGGTCTCCAGGGCCATCTAGCCTGACCCCCGGCTCCAGCCACCTCCGCTCACGACGTGCCCGCCATGTGGACATCCAGGCTGTCCTTGAAGACCTGCACCGATGGGGCCTCAACCACCTCCCGTGGAAGCCCATTCCACACCCTCGGGGTCCTGGCTGTCAGGAAGGGCTTCCTCGCATCCAAACGGAACCTCGGTTCCTTGATTTCCCTCGACTCAGAATGGGCTCCGCAGCGCTGGCGGTTCCACGGCCTCAGGAGCTGATCCACGGCCCCCGTGGCTTCGACTGGGAACACACAAGAGGTGGCAACTCACCTGACCCGCTCTGGGTAAAAGAGAGCCATGCCCCACACCGTGGCGCCACCCCAGTCGTGGCCAACGAAGGTGGCCTGGGAGATGCCCTGGAGGAGAGGGGGAAAGAAGGAGCGGTCAGCCGAGCGCAGAGGCGCTTCCCACACGAGCAAGTGTGCCCCCCACAACCCTCGCCCTCGCCGATGGGGCGCGATGCTCCCGAAGGCGGGTGGCCGCATCGCGGTGACCTTTCGGAAGGGGTGCGGGTGCGGGTGCAGCTCACCCACGTTCCGGGTGAACGCCGACCTCACTCCCCAGGCCCTGCCTGGGCGTCAGTGAGCGACCCGCCTCCCAAACCGACTTCTCGCTTCCCCAGCCTCCTCGCGCTGCTTGAGCCGCTGGCACTTCTCCCGACGGAGCCCGACACCAGGCGCGCCGGCAGCCAGGAAAACCTTGCGCTTATTCTGTGGGGCCGATGAACTACCTCACATCCAGCCTCCCCACACGGGCAGCCACCGGCTCCGGCCTGAAGAAACCGCCCCACCATGTTATCTTGAAAAGGAGGAAGGAACGACGAAAGGCCCAATTCCGGGCGCCCAGGCCCTCGCCAAACTTGAAAGAACCTGCCTGAGCTTTTAAGTTCCACCTGCTTGCACAAGATATGCGGCCTTCCAGCCCCTTTCCCCGCCTGCTCCAAAAGGCCACGGAAGCGAGGCGCAGTGTCGCAGCTCTCTGCCTTCTCCATATTGTGGGTTTCGTTAGGACCAAAAACGTATCCCAGGTGCTGCGAAGAGGCCGGCTCTGTTTGAGCCGAACGGCCAGCGGCAGCCTCGGATGGCCTCGAGCAATGGACAGGTTTTTCCACAGCGGCCTCTCCAAGAGGCCCAGTTCCCCAGCACCGATTCTACGATGACAGGGAAAACGCCACCCTCCAAACCCACGCCTTGGACGCCCCGGACTCCAAGAACTCTCCCCGCGCTCTCTGGGTATCAGCAATTCCTTCCTTGCACATTTTGGCTGCCAAGGCAGTTAATCCCATCATCCAAACGCAGGCATGTGAGCTGATGCATTTCAATGTTTTCATCATAGTTCTGTATTGCACCTGATTTCATTCTTGGCTGCTTGGAGCGCTATGTGCAGGAGAAAAGTGGACCATGAACTAATTAAATAAAGACAGTAAAGGAAGTCAGCCGCCCTCTGGGTTAAAAGCACTGCACCAGTGTAGCCCAGCAGGCTGCACTCTGACTGGCAGCACCTGCCCAGGATCTGAGGTAGACTGCTCAGAGCAATGGCTGCCCAACCCTTTTAAGGGACAACACCCAGCACTGAAGAGGGGACCCTCTGTATGCGAGGCAGGCACTCTGCTCCAGAAGGGGGTACCCCAACCACAGACCAGTCTTCATCCGCTTCACTGCAGCCAGTAACATGTCGTGAGCGGAGCCTGCTGGGGGTCAGACTAGATGGCCCGGGAGCCCCCTTCTGGCTCATTCTATTTCTATGTTTCCAACCTTTCGGCGGCATGCATTTTAGCTCTGTGCATGCCTTCTCGGCCGCTAGTGAGTGTGCGTTTGTGCATGTATACACACAAAAACTTTGGCTAGTTAAGGAACCGTGTCGCTGCTAGGAACCAGGGCAGATTCATACAATCTTTTCAGTTTGGCAGGGAAAACCAAGACTTAGAAGCTCAGTGGATGACAAAGAGCCGCAAGACACAGCGCTCATCCAGGGCACAATCCTATGCGACTTTAGTCTGAAAAAAGGCCTACAATGGGAAGTTATGGCTTTTTCTTGTTCAGCATCACATCTCGGTATTTCTTACATACCCTCCTCAAACGCAGATGCCTCGCGGCATCTTACAGGAGTCTAAAGACGCAAAACAATTCAGAAGAGCTGAACGTTAAGAAGGCGAGACGCTGCAAAACGAACGGGTGGAACCAAGGACGGCCCTCCGGGCGCTCTTGTTGCGGCCCCTGGAAAGGGCCGGCCTGCTTCCTCGGCCCGTCCTCCCTTCCCCAGCCGCCGATCGCTGGGTGCGTTTGAAGCAAGCACAGCTCCGTTCTGGACGGTCAGAGCATCAAGTGACAACGAGCTTGTCTTCTTGGCACCGCTGGACTGCAACCCCTGGGGTTTCCTCTCAATGGGAACTCAGCTCCCTGGCAGGCAGAAGAAACCGCCCGCACCTGGAACTGGGCTGGGCAGCATTCGGGCAACCAGGACCAAGGGGGCCAGAAGTGGGGCGCACGGCCCAATCCGTCTGGCTGCAGCATTTGACACAAGCTGCCGTTTCTGAGCCGCCGGAGGGGCCCGGGATCTAATTCCACGCAAACGCCTTCCCACCGCCTGCCTGTGCGCAGCCGGACGAGAAGCCCGTGCTGTCTCCAGCCCCCAGGAGCCGTTCGCCAGGCGCAGCTGCAGGATCCACCGCGCCGGCACGGCGACGGCTGCACAGCACACCAAAGCTCCTGGCTGTGCCCCACCAGCAGCCCCCACCCCGGCCAGGGCTGCGCTGGCTAATCATTCAGGGATGATCGGGCTCCTTTGCCAAGCAGAGCGCCGGCACGACGGAGAGCAGGACGGGCTCACTCCTGCCACTGCGCCAGGAACGAAGAGGGGCCGGCAGCTTGTGGGGGGAGGCACAGCTATGGGCCGGACAGCCAGGAGAAGAGAGGGCCTGGCTTCAATCGGAGTGGCGACCATGGTTCCCGAAAGTGCGCAGCAGGTTTAGCGTGACCGTGTATGTCCCCTTTATGCCAGAGCACTGGCAAGGGTCCTCTTGAGTGCATCATGGGAGCGGGGGGGGGGGGGCTGTCGCAGCCTTTTTGGAAGGCCCTGAAGCGTAACCCTTCAATCCGGACTTTCCGGGAACACCAAACAGCACCCTCTGGGTATGGCCTTCTCAAGAACAAAACAGGCCCATGGCAGTTAAAAAAGCAGCACCCTTAAAATCCCCTCAGAATGGGAGAGGCAGCTCCCTCGGGGTGTTTTGCCTTCGAAAGTTTCGTGCGCCGAAGCCACAGCCGTTGATTGACAGTAAATGCAGCCATTGTGCCAGGGAGAGCTTGGGAAAGGGTCCTGCTCTGCCCCACACAGTATCCAATCTGCCCCACACCAGCCTGTCTCTGTTGAGTTGAGGCACCAGAGAGAGTAGAAAGCGGGCGTGAAAGGCGCTTCGTTTAATTGTGCAGGGGAAAGAGACCAGCATCTCCCAGCAAGCCTGTGCGTGTGCTGAGCTGGAGCTGCAACCCTTTCAAGCAGCTAAGGGCGATGTGTGACTCAATGCCCAGGAGCCCGGAGCGTGTCACAAGCTGTGTGGCCCCCCTCCAAGCAGCCCCCCCCCCCGCAGCAGGGAATGCAGGAAGAAGAGAGGGCAGAGCTCAAGCCCTGTCATGACCGTTTCCACTCACACACCGAAAGCCCAGAACGGCACCGGGTGATCCCTCCAGAGGCATCGCGTGCTTTTAATTAAAACCTGCAAAATCCACCTGCTCGCCACTGCGAACTGCCCTGAAAGGAAGATGGAGTCGCTCACTCCGCTCCCTGACTTCAGCAAACAGGCCACATTAATTAGCTAGCTAATTATTAAGACACAAAGGAAATGTTCTTCTTTTCTTCCCTAGAAAGCCTCGAATGCATGTCCCCCAAGCACAAGGAAAAAAGCCTCTGGCCACCAGGAAGCAGCGTCTGACTCCTCTGCATGGAAGCGGGGCAGAGAACCTCCAGCTGGGGCCAAATCCGGCCAGCCAGGGTCCCACGGGGAGCCCCACGCATTTCCTGTGCTGATCACGTGAGAGTTCTGGACTTCCACCTCTTTGCCCCTTGCTACGGCGTTGCTGCTGCTGGTAAAAGCATTGAGCTACAATAAGCTGGGATTCTGGCATTTTGGGCCCCTTCCCATGGCCTGCAGCCCAGCCCCAGAGCTCCCCCAGGGTGGAATTTGGCTGACAGAGGATCAGCAGAGCAGTTACAGAGAAGCCACGGGAGGAGGTTGAGGCCCCATCGGGGAGGGTGTTCAAGGAGAGGCTGGACGTGCACATGGTGGGCATGTCGTGAGTGGAGCCGGGGGTCAGACTAGATGGCCCGGGAGGCCCCTTCTGACTCGCTCTGCTTCTATGTTTCTATGTAAGCTAAAAGCAGCACCATTGCCCCTAGACTGGAATCCGCCCCCCTGGATTTGAGGAAGGAGCTTCGCCCGCCCTCCTTGGGGATCGGAGCGGGGCCTTCTGCCTGCGCATACGGCGGCCCTCCCACGGCTGCCTTAAGTCCTTTACGTCTCAGGGACAGGCAGAATAAATAAAAAAGCAACGGGCTGCGGATTGCAGCCGGCTTGCCTCTCAGGATCAGGACCCGTGGGCCAACATGTCCTCCGCAGAAGGCAGCTCAGGGGACAGGCAATCTGCGCGCGGATCGATGGAGGGGCCTCGAGCGCCTGGGTCAGCGCAGGTCGCCTGCTCCGATGTTCCTCATTTGCGCTCCAGAGCGCTTACTCGTTCGAAGCGCTGCCCTCAGAAGTTAATTAAATTCGACGCCGGCTCCCGCTGCGGCACGGGGAGAGGACGGGCAGCGGGCGGGAAAAAGAACAAGGAGAAAAGGAGCAGAAAAATGACTGGCGGCAGGGGTCAGCAGGCACAGTGGTCACAGCTGGGCAAGGGGGAAGTGGATGTGGACAGAGCTGGTTGGCTGGACATAGTTCTGGGGTAGGTGGAGGATGGTGGAGAGCAGAATTACCCTTCCCAGCCCAGATGGCTTGGCAGGACAGTGGGAACTGTAGTCCCGTGTGCCTACTGGGTTCTGCTTCCAGAAGGCACGGATCCTTTTCTTCATCGTGGGGGAAGCAACCTGGGGCCTCCCAGATGTTTTAGGCTACAACTCCCATGGGTCCCAGTCAGCGAGTACAGCCAATGCCCAAGGTTTATGGGAACGTAGCCCAAAACATCTGGAGAACATCAGACTGCTGGGCCTTGCCTTATCATACGGCTGCCTATTTTGGATGATTTTACGTCTCACAAATAAATGTTGGGCTCATCTTGTCGCTGTTCATGTTCTGGCTGGCCGGGAATTATGAGCCCAAGGCCTCCAGAGGGCAGCCAGTGCAGGGGGAGGGCTCTGGGCC